TCCTCCGTTTCAGTCACCAGCGCAGCAGGAAGGGGCTGGTCCACAACCACAAGACACACATCTAGAGAAGGAAGAGAACGTTGTTGTAGCAAGGTATTTGGATGGGCAGGCACAATGCGATGGACACAACTGTGGTCTTGACTCTTGGGCTAAAGCCAAGTGTCTTGATCAGTTTCTGTTGTAGGGGAAAGAGAAATGGCAAGAACACCGCAAGGGGCGGCTTGGTACTCGAAAGTTCACCGACATTGAAGGGAAACTAGTTGTGCTCTCCTTGTGCGATAACCCTGTTCGCTTGACTACTCACACGAGGTGCTTACCTACTGTAGTAGGAAGTGAATCCAACCAGGCTGCAAACGATTCTTCGTCCTTTAATAGGTGGGGCTTGGACTACGAAGCCGAGGTAAGTGATTGGAGTGAGGGCATGGATGATAGGAGGAAGAAAAAGTCACCCCGGGATCGGCGAAGTGCGATCTTGGGGTACAGACAGAGCGAGTAGGTGTCCATAAAACCAAAGGGAAGAGTGTTGCGTTGACCGTTTTTAGTTAGGTTGAGGCGACTGACATGTACGAAGGCATCCGGTCTAGGAGTCACGAGGAAGATCTTACTCTATCTATGAAGATGAGAGAGGATCTTGCCAGGAATGTGTAGATAGACCAGCGCGTAAAGGGGCATCAACGAAGTGAGGGGCATGAATGGCCAAACCACGGCGAGGGGTAAGCACCGACTACATCCGTTATGTAGCCTGGACACACTAATGGTTATGTGTTGACTAAGCGACTCTACGGATTGCCTTAGCCGTTGCACTTGGTCTCAATAGTGCAGTCTCCTAACACAGTTGCATCTAGCGTAGTCTAAGGTAGTGTCGATGTCTGCCAAAGCCCCACGACCACCTACACTGACCTCTACCAAATCTCAGGACCTTAAACTGTGGTCACGCTGGCAGCTAGCTGGTTTTCTACAGACCTCTCCCTCTCTAGCTCCTATAAAGACTCAGACACACCCAATGAACAGAGCTTGATGTGGTCTGGATGTGCCTGCGGGGTGACTAAGGAGTCAGTAACCATGATTGTCTTTTGAGATGGTGAAGGATTGTTTGCCGACTCAAACTGTGCAGGACTGGATACTCTTCTGATGAACTAAATGTGTTGCCAAGGACGTGCCCGCAGTCCTTCCCTGGTTTGAGGATGCCTCACCTCCCTTAAGGCTGCAGGTAGATAGTGAAAAGCTTTCCGATATAAGTATCACTTCAAGATTGCAGTGTTCCTATTTGGACGGAGGCAATCTCGATACCTAGTGGATAAATCTTAGAGGGACAGGTCTTCAAGACCCCTTTAGAATGAGAGAATACGTGTTACAAAGTGTCCAAACCTACGTAGGAGCCATCAGAAGTTGTAAACAAGGAGGCTGCCCAAGGGATAAGGATCATTCCTTCTACTGTGCGATAGACCTATAGAATGTCGTCTATGATGTTGGACAGCGACAGACAAAGTTAGGGAAGAAGGGATGGATTGGGCCACATGCGTCTTCCTATAAAACTTCAAGTATATTGATTGATACGGGAAAGAAAAGGGGACGAAGAGATCGAAGAGCAAAAGAATAATAGAATATAAAAAATTACTAACAAATATTTTTAGGAGAATTCTATAGTAAATGACAATCAGTAGTTTAATTTTTTGACGAATTAAGTGATGTCAACATACATCAGGAAAGGGGACGAAGAGACCGAAGAGCAAAAGAATAATAGAATATAAAATTTTAGAAAATTAATAACAAATATTTCTAGGAGAATTCTATAGTAAATGAAAATCAGTAGTTTATTTTTTGACGAATTAAGTGATGTCAGCATACATCAGGAACGAGGAATTTTCAGCAAACCTACTCTGGCAATTTCTAAGGTCCGCTAGTTGATACTCGCCTTGGAACAAATTAGAAGGTTGATGCCCCATACTAATAACGATGTACATCCCCTTACATGGATTGAGGATCGATGTTGGACCATTCCCAAAAAGCATTCTCAATCCAGAATAGAAGGAGATAGAGGGACAACTAGAAATGATATTGCAATGGATTTTCTTTGGATTACTATGCTTACAAATTGGCGACTCCTACCCCTACCAAATAAATCATTTCCCTCTAGATATGAAGAGGTGTTTCGTCAGCCTCTCTTTGGTAACAAATGGATTACTTACAAGAACGAGGTCATCTTCAGTAGTTCGGTCTCACCATGGTTTTCGTGGGTGAAAAGGGGGGGGTTGCAGGTAAAAAACTTGTGGGATACAACAAAAAAGGACTGAAAAACAGCAGAACAATTGAGAGAGATCCTCAGGTATGCTCATCGGCTAGGGTATTTTTTGGACCAAATTATTTTTTTTATTCCCCTGGCTTTGATCCGCGCGTTAAAAAAAGGAATTCACTTTCAGGAAGCAGATTGGGTAATAGGATGCATACCTGGTGAGCAAAATAAAATAGGCCAAGTAATACACCTATTGCCTGATGGCGCCTTGGTAAGTATATGTGGGATCAAAAGGGACTATAACTTGACTCCAACAGATACAGTGGAATTACTTCCCTATGATTGCATCTACAAAATCAGGGTTCTTTTTAATTCTTCTTCCCAAGGATGGAAAGCGTACCATCCTGAAATTCCAATTCCCAAGCTTCCTCTGGATCCAGCAGAGTGGATTTGGTCAACACATAAAAGGGGAAAACCACAAGTTTTGCAATTTTTTACAGTAAAGGCCACATATAGGCTTCTTCGCATAAAACTGGATGTGGCAATAATAGTACAAGAACGGTGGGCTAGATATCTCAATATAGATATAAATTGTGAATTAAACCACCAGTACCTCGCTCAGCTATCGGTCACGGGCCTTCCCGTATACGCGCCGCAGCCTTAGGGGGGTCGGCGAAGGGAAGGCCCGGTCGTAGCCAGAAAGTTGGGCCCCGCTTCTGTAGGGACAACACAGTAG